GATCACCATGCACTCTGTCATGGCACACATGTGCCCATGCATATAACACACATATAATAAATAAACAAACACAGATTTCAGCAAGAGGCTAATAGAAAGAGAGATGCTTAGGGGAAGAATAAGACACACCCAAGAGCCTAGGCACGAGCTCCTCAAAAGAGTACAGCATAAGTGTCTCAGCAGTCATTATATACTATTTTATTAACTCTAAAATTATAACTCTTAATGGTTACTGTAAAAACTTTTTCCTCCTTTTCCCTTTTTGCATTTACTTATTTATGTGTGTGTGAGGGTGGGCGGGTGCATGCATCCCACAGTGAACACTGGAGGTGGTCAGAGGACAATGTTAGGAAGTCGGTTCTCTCCTTCCACCATGAGGATCCCAAGATTGAACTCACGTTGTCAGCCTTGGCAGCTAGTGTCTTTACCTATTGAGTAGTCTTTCCAGTCCTATCCCACTCTTTATGATAAGCGAGATTATAGGGTAGCTCCAAGGGTGCCTTGGTTGGGATTCAAATCTAATAAAGAAAAAAACCACAAGCCACAAGGGTTGCACAAGGGGGTTAAAACATGTCTTTTATTGTAAGTGGAGAGTCTTATGAGAGTTCTAGAAGATTGCAGGTTTACAGATGAGAATGGGAAAAGGTCACCTACACTTAGGCCTCAGGCATAGCTCATTGCTATTTAAACACTCTTATTTGAATCACCACTACATAAAAGGAAGACTGTCTCCACGTAGGTAACCTTCACAGTGCATGTTGTTGGAACTCTCGACTCTCAGCTGGAGAGAAGCTTCAAGCAGAAAGCGGAAAGGGGAAGGGGCTCCTTTCCCTCCCCACCTCCCCGTAATTTCCCCTGACTTTCATCCTGCCCCACATATGACATAAAAGTCTAAATGACACTGGCTAGGGGAACAAAGAGGACTGACGGGAAGGGGGAGGCAGGAAGGGATATGGAGGGAAGCATGTTCAATATACATTATATAGTTGTATGAAGTGTCCTTATGTAACATAGAGCCATGTACAATGAAAATGCATAATAAATCTTTTAATTGAGAAAGAACTCTCCAGTGTTTGCTGGAGCTGATATAAGATGTAACAGTTCTGGACCACGGTTCCTGTTTCACCACAGCAGCTCAGTAGTGACATCCACAATGTGTCCACACTGCTATTTAACTGAAGCAATGCATAGAGCCATGCCACCTTGAATCTGCCTGATCCCATCCAATCTCAACGTGTGAATGTCATTGGTGGGAACAGTGACTTACTGCCTTTTTTTTTTTTTTTTTTTTTTTTTTTGAGCTGAGGACCGAACCCAGAGCCTTGTGCTTGCTAGGCAAGCACTCTACCACTGAGCTAAATCCCCAACCCCATAGTTTTTAAAAAAGAAAAGGAACTAAAGTCATGCAAAATTATGTTTGTTTTTATTTAAAATCAATTTGAAAGTGTGACTTTTAGACCCTTCCCCAGAGTTGAGTTAATGCAAAAATGTATTAAAATGAAGAGAGAATTAGGACAAGTAATGTGGCCAGAGATTTTGGTATGGAATTCTTGGGACCCCATGAAGTATTTGCTTTCTATATTGGAGCAGAATCTAAACTGCTGCCCAAGGAAAACATTAGGGGTCCTTTATTCTAAGCCAAGAGCTTTGTGTTAAAATGCACAACCTGGATAGGGCATTACCTCTGCTTGTACAGCTTGGGTAGTTGTGTTGTGGTGCTGGAGAGTAAACCTGGGCCTTGCTCATGGCAGGCACGGGCTCTACCATGCAACAAAAGATCCCAGTCCTGCTTGGATAGTGTCATAAGGCTTTGGACTTGTTGAAATTGTTAAATTGTTTTGCTTTGTAAGTACCCATGATTATAGCAAAACAATATAAAAATCAATTATTTCTCAGCTCAACATTTTTATTACCATCTCCCTTTTCTGATTCATTTCATAAATAAGTGCTGAAGGAGTTATTCATCTATAAGCTGGGTATATCCTTATGTCTCATCATGTTTTGAAAAGCTCCTTCCTAAGAAAGAATGTACTCAAAATAATATTTGTATTATTTTGTGAGAGGTATAAAGACTAAATATGCAAATAAACACATGTACCCATGTACGCCCCACCCCACCCATCTTAAGAAAGACATTACTGCACCTCTGAGAGCTTCCCCAGAGCCCATTCCTCATGAAAACATAACATAAAGTTGTGGGATGCTGTTGAAGAGAAATTTATAGAACTATCTACATTAGAAAAGAACAGAGTCCTTAAACCAGTGAGCTGAGCTTCCTCCTTAAGAAACTAGAGAGGGGAGCAAAGAGCATTCAGTGTAAGTGGGGGAATGGAAATAGAAGAGATCAGGGTAGACAACTGGGAGATAAGAAAACCGACAAATAGAACTCACACTTGTAATCCCACACTAAGGAAACTCAGATAGGGATGTTGGTATGACTTCAAGGCCAGCCTGGGCTACACTTTGAGTTCCAGGCCAGCTTGGATTAGAGTAGTGAACTCTTGTCTCAAAAAAAAAAAAAGAAGGAAGAAAGGAAGGAAGGCAGGGAGAAACAAAAAGGAGGAAGAGGGAAATGCCTCCTTACAGCTAGAGAAGAAGTAAGGAATGCTATAAACAACTTTATACCGATAAAGTTGACAAGTTAGATGAGTGCCAGTAAACCTTATGCAAAAGGCCAGGTAAGGGCCAGCAGGATGACTCAGTGGGTAAAAGCACCAACCATGCAAGACTGAATTTTGATCCCTAGAACCCAGGTGGAAGGAGAGAACCAACTTCTGAAAGTTGTCCTTTGACCTCTATACATGCACCAAGGCATGAGCACATCCTCACTCACACACACACTCACACATACACACTAATATGATTTTTATTTATCTAGGGGTGTAGTTAAGTGGTAGAAAGCTTGCCTAGAATGTTCATATTCCTGATTGCATCCCTAGTACTGAAAAAAACAGTTTAAGCCAGCTAACAGCCTAGGTTCTGTGGGTTCTACCATTCCCTTTACAACTATTTCATCCCACCATTACAGCACAAAACAGTTACAGTCACTACACACAAGGGGTATGACTGAGTTACAATAAAACCTATTTACTAAAAACATGAAGCAAATCATATTTCATTCACAAGCAATAGTTTGGTGCTCCCACCTTAGATAAGTGGAAATTTTTTTTGGACTAGTACAAAACCAGACACACAAGCTAATGGAATGGAACAGAGGATCCTGTACTAAACCCACACTGCTATAGCCACTGGCTTTTTTTTCCAAGACAGGGTTTCTCTGTGTAACAGCACTAGCTGTCCTGGAACTCTATCTGTAGATCAGGCTGGCCTCAAACTCAGGCCTGCCTCTGCCTCTGGAGTACTGGGATTAAAGGTGTGTGCTGCCACACCTGGCTGCCACCAGCTTTTTAACAAAGATGTCCAAATATATATATGGAGAAAAGACAACCTCTTTAACAAATTATTCTGGGAAAACTAGATGTCCATATGTAGAAAAACAAAACTAGATCTTACCTCTCATCATGTACAAAGATTAATTCAAATAGACCAAAGACATCAACATTAAGACCAGGAACTTTGAAACTACTAGGAAAAAAAAACACTCTTCAAGATGCAGGCATATGTCAGGCATGCTGATGCACATCTATAACGCTATAATCTCGGGAGTCAGAGGCAGGTAGATCTCTGTGAGTTCAAGGCCAACCTGGCTATGTAGAGAAACTCTGTCTCAAAAAAACCCAATAAATAAATAAACAAACAAATAAAAAGTACAGGTAAAGGCAAACCTTTCTGAATATATTCCCCAAAGCCCAACCAAATAGCAAAGACTGGTAAATGTCACTGCATGAAATTAAAAAGCTTCTGCAAATCATAGAAAATGGTAAAGAGGGGTTGGAGATTTAGCTCAGTGGTAGAGTGCTTGCCTAGCAAGCACAAGGCCCTGGGTTCGGTCCTCAGCTCCGACAAAAAGAAAAAAAGAAAATGGAAAGAATGCTAAGAATAGGAGAAAGATTTCCTAGTTATTCCTCTGCTGGGGGAAAAATATCCAGAACATGTAAAGGACTCCAAACCAAGAAACAATTAATCACTAAAGAGATAAATGTACCATTTCCAAATAAGTACAAATGGCCAAGAAATACATGAAAATGTTCACCATCCTTATCCATTACTGTAGTACAAATTCAAACTATACCAGCATTCTCCCTCCCCCAGTCAGAATGGCACCATCAAATGACAACTGCTACTGAAGTCGTGGGTGGGACGGACCTTAAACTCTGGTAATAGCATGAGCTAGCACAGCCACTACGGAAATCAGTGTGTGGAGATGCATCAGAAAACTAAAAGACAGAACTACCGTATGGTCCAGCCAGCAGCACCTGTTACCCAACAGTTCTCATCAAGGTTCCAGGTCTTTATGTCCTTGCCAAAGAAGGACACTTACTTGTTATGTAACTTTTGTATTACAGTCATCCTAGAGGATGTAAAATGACAGAAATCTCCTTGTACTTTTGATTTCCATTTCTTATTGACTGATTTTTGAACATCTTTCCATATGTCTATTACTCAATTTTAAATGGATGCTTTTATTGAATTACCTCCCTTAACTCCTTTTAAATACAAGCTAGTTCTAAATTATCAATAAATTTAAAATGTTAGCATCCCTTCCTAACCTTTCTTACAATTACACTACACCTGAGGTAAAGGAGTAAGTTCTGAGCGATGAAAGCTCTCTCGTGGTTTGAAAAATAAATTCCTAAATATAAAAAGTAACAGTATAGTATTAAGTTAAGTGGTTTTCATCTCTTAGAGAGGAGCTAATTAGTAAGGCAACATACCTTATCTTCATTCTTAACAGATATCCCAAAGGAAAATTTAAAAATTGTCTAAAGTGAAATGAAAGAATAATCATTCGTACCTTTAAAAACTATACATACCATGACTGATTTATTACTACTTAAAAAGCATGAGGCTGATACCCACCACAAAAAGAGCTTGCTTACCATCTTCGATGGCATTTTTGACAGCACGAAGTCCGTCTCTTAAAGCATCCTTAATCTGTGTGAGAGTATGCTTGTTTGGTCCTTTGACCAACAAGGTGACAGAGAGAGGATTCACACAGTCCTCAATAAAAGTGAACTTTTCTTCACCCTAATGGGGAACAAGAGGAGATACAGCTGTAAGGCTCGGGATACAGCCGAAGGGTGCAGGTAGCAGAGCACTTTGCCCAGCACACATGAGATCCTGACTTGGATCCCCAGTAAAACACCACACACACACACACACACACACACACACACACACACACACACACACACACACACATATACAGGACAAGCATAACATTTGACACATTGTATTATTACATTCGTATAAAATTACAATGGCATCATGAAATTCAAATCTATATTCTATTAGGATCCAGTCTTCACGTAACTTTTTCTTGTCAAGCATAACGGTGTATTTTAAAGTGGTTAAGTTATGCCACCATTTGGGGAGGTTGGATTAGGAAGATGGTTCAAGACCAACTGGGGCTACATAACAAAACTCTTAACACTTAGGTAAAAAAATTGTAAACTCTGTCCTGTCAGACCTCAAAATGTAAAATATGAATTAAAAGATATAAAATACCAAAACTAGTTTAGGAATCATGTTATAACTGCTATTCATAGACATACCCACTAATAAGCCAGGCAGTGGTAGTGCACGCCTTTAATCCCACAGCACTTGGGAAGCAGAGGCAGAGGCAGGCCGATCTCTGAGTTTGAGGCCAGCCTGCTCTACAGAGTGAGTTCCAGGGCAGCCGGACAACACAGAGAAACGCTGTCTCAAAAAATAAAAATAAAAAATAAAGAAATACTCACTAATGAATACTCAAATACAAGGCCAGCATGCCCCAAACAATCTTCATTAAGGTCTTCAAAGGAGTTCACAGCTATTCCTCCACAAGCAAGAGCAAGCCTGGAATCACATCATGTCACCTTCACTTTGGTTATGGAAAATACAAAGGCTAATTTCTCTTTCCCTTTTTTTTTTTTTTTTTTGCATGATCTCACTTTAATCCAAGCACTAAGAAAGCAGAGGCAGGTGGCTCCCTGTGAGTTCAAGGCAAGCCTGGTCTATACCTGAAACCCTGTCTCAAAAACAAACAAACAAACATATAGTTATTAACTATAGTCACCATGATGCACAACAAATCCTTAAATATATCTTTCCTCTCTAATGAAAATTTTGTATCCTTGGACCAACATCTCCCAAACTCTTAATCTGCCCTAGCAATCCAGCCTCCTGTAACTATCATTCACTTATCTACTTCTGAAAGTTTAGTATTTTTAAATTCCACATATAAGTGAGATCAGACAGTATTATAGTGTTTCTAAAATCTGTTTTGTGTGGGGGAGGGAGTGTATGTGTGCCCATGTACGTGAGGGTGCACTCACCCATGCAAGTAGGGTGGGCAGAGGTTGACACCAGGTTGTCTTTCGTCAGTCACTTCTCTGTCGTACTTTTTTGAGGCAGGGTCTCTCACTGAACATGAAGCTTGAAGTTTTAGCTAGACTGGCTGACCAGCAAGTCCCTAGAGCTGGGGTTACAGGCACGCAATGCTGCTGTTCCTGCCTTTCATGTGGGTTCTGGAGACCAGACCCCAGGTCTCAGGTTTTCAGGCTTGCTCAGCAAGCACTTCACACGCTGAGCCATTTCCCTGGCCCCAGATCTTAAGGGTTTGTTGCTGTTGTTTGGTTGAGGGTTTCTCTGTATAGCCCTGGCTGTCCTGGAACTCGATCTGTAGACCAGGCTGCCTCCAACTCAGAGATCCCCCTTCCTCTACCTTCCCATTGCTGGGATTAAAGGCATGCACCACCACACCCAGTAACTGTTTAAAAAGAAAGGAAAAAAACTCAGAAAGCTTTGGGTTCAGTTCCCAGCACTACAAACAAAGGACAGCAGCACCAAGAGCAACAGAAAACACTTGGCATACATAATTTGCACTTACCTTTCGAGATTTCTTCTTTTTGCCCTGCGAAGAGCTACGATATTATGTTTTGCCAGCATTTCTAAGGAGAACGGATCAATGCCCTGTAGTCAAGTTAACACAAAAGTTAAGTGGCTTTTGTTCCACACTAGGCAAGTGCTCTACCACTGAGCTCTACTCTTAACCTTAAAAAATTTTAAGCCAGTATTTCTCAAGCTTTTTTTTTTTTTTCTCAGCAGCACTTTACAGTCTTAAAAATCAAGAAGAACCAAGGCTGGGCATGATGGCACACACCTGTAATCCCAGCACTCAGGAAGCTAAAGGAGAAAGACCTAAAGTTCCAGGCCAGTATAGACTACATAGCAAATTCCTTGTCAGCCTAAGCTATATAGTGAGTTGTATCTGTATGGTATCATAGAAACAGGGGCTGGAGAGATAGGTCAGTGGTTAAGAACACAGGCTGCTCTTTCAGAGGTCCTCAGTTCGGTTCCTAGCACCCATGGGATGGCTCACAACAACCTGCAACTCCAGTTTCAGACGTACACTCCCAAACATAACTTAAACAGGAACACATTTTGAAGGGTTCTGAAAATCATTAATCTTATATTTTAAGTGGGTTATTTTATTCATGCCTGACTTTGTAAAATCATGTGGGTTTTAGTCAGTTAGAAAGCATTGAGTTGAGCTCAAATGTTACTACTGGCAGCACTGGCAGCACACCCCGTGAGCCATCTTCCTTGGAGTACTAGGATTGTTGCATTTGTTTTTCAGGGAACAAAAATCCCCTGAACATCCAAATCTATATAACCACAGTTTATCTGTTGGACCTTCTTTCAACCAAAAATGGCTTTCCATGAAAAAGTAGCTAGTTTAACTCAAAATCTAATTATACATAGGCTTTCTTCAAGACAACCATCATGTTTTGCTATGAAGAAGTGCTTTATGTATATTTCATATTTTATCAAACAAAGTTATAAAAAGGTGAATCCTTGGGGCTGGAGAGATGGCTCAGTGGTTAAGAGCAGTAGCTGCTCTTCCAAAGGATCTGAGTTCAATTCCCAGCACCCATATGCCCGCTCACAACTGTCTGTAACTCTAGTTCCAGAGGATCTGGCACCCTCACACAGACATGCATGTGGGTAAAACATCAACACACATAAACTAAATAAATAATTTGTAAAAAGATGAATCCTTAAGGGTCAATTTTTTTTTTTCGAGACAGGGTTTCTCTGTGTAGCTTTGCGCCTTTCCTGGGACTCACTTGGTAGCCCAGGCTGGCCTCGAACTCACAGAGATCCGCCTGGCTCTGCCTCCCGAGTGCTGGGATTAAAGGCGTGCGCCACCACCGCCCGGCAAGGGTCAATTTTTAATAAAATCAATAGTTAGCATTTCCAGACATTCTTTTCTAAATTAAAAAAAAAATGTAGGTATGGTATGTCTGTATGTGGATATGTGCCCCAGTGCAGGTGTGTGGAGTTCGGAAGGCAAGAGTTCCCCTGGAGCTGCAGTCAGGTAGCGGTGAGCCATTCGACCACGTGGGTGTGAGAGCTGAGCTCAGATCCCAAAGAGCAGCACACACCCTTACCTGCTGAGCCACCTTTCCAGACCCACCACCCAGCTACCCCAGAATGAAGCAGCTTCTCCCCTGGTGCTGTGGTAGTGAAGAGGACAGGGGCGAGCACAGCTTGGTGCTGCTCTCCTGAGTACAGGAGGAAGTCAGCAGCTTTACCTTTCCTCACAAATGTCCACACAATACAAAAGGCGTTATTACTATGAAAAGTTCCTTCCCCAAACTCCCTGAAAATGTCATAAGGTCCCTTTGGGGTCAACAGCCACACTTTGAGAAATGCTGAAAAACAGTGACAAGCACTTAAGCTGCAAACTTCCTTCTCACCTTTTGATTAACGACAACAAATCCTTTATTGGTCTCAGCACAAACTTTCTGTTTTAGGTCTATTATTTTCTGCACTCTATCTTCAATAAATTTTCTTTCAGCTTTTACCAATTTCTCTTTCTCTTCTACAGTCTTATAAAAGAAACCAGAGCTCACTTCTCTAAAGAATTAATAAGAACAAGTTAGTAAACCAGGTACGGAGGCTAAAGCAAGAGGTTCACAAGTCTGAAGTCACCTGGAGCAATGGAAGTCCCTTTCTTAAGAAAACGGAAACGGACAAATGGGAAAAGTTGGCGAGGTGGGCGTAGAAGAGAAAAAGAAGTTACAGAACACCTTTAGAGAAAAGAGAGCTGGCCATGGTGGCTCATACTTGTTATCCCAATACTCAAGAGACAAGCAGGAGGAGTGTGCATGTTAGTTAGAGACCATACTGAACTAAACAGTGAAACTCTTGAGAGAGAGGGGCAGGGGGAACTGTGAAAGAAGGAGGGGGAGATGGAAAAAGTAATTTTTAAATTGGGGTTGGAGAGATGGCTCAGGCTAAGGGGACCTGAGTTCAGTTCCCAGTACCCATGTCAGGTGGCTCACAATTACCTGGACCATCAGATCCAGGGGATGGATGCCCTCTTCTGGCCTCCTGGGGCACCTTTACTCACATGGATATATACACATAATTAAAAATAAAAACAAATTTACAAAAAAAAAAGAAAAAGAAGTGTTAAAAGAGTTTCAAATGTTAGGAAGACAAACTGGCACGCACGTTTTTTCATACTCTAGTGACACATTGCAAATGAGGATAAATGCATCTTGCACTTGCTTCTTCATGCTTGGATGACGGGCACCATGGTCCAAAACCAATCCTCGAATCAACCTAGTAAAACACATAATGTTTCATGGAACACACATCCTAAAATTAGAATTTCAAAAGCTATTCAAAGCTAGGAACAGCCAGGACACACATTGTTTCCTTGTATAACTTCAAACCTAACATATAATTAGTAGAATTAGGGAAAGAATCTTTTAACAGTGTGACCATAAGTCAAAATGAAAAGACAGCCCAGAATTTCTCTCTAAGTTATGCAGCTCCAAACAGGAGTAGCTGATCAAATAACAAAAGGGAGGCACACAATGAATTTCTTAGGGATATTTGTTCAAAATAATTATATAGAATAACTAAAAATTGTTAACCTAAATGTCCAGCACAATAGGATATTGTTCAGCAAATAATGGCCCAGCAATTCAATGGTTGTGAAAACTATGTAGTAACATGAAAAATATTTACAGGGATAGCCAATAAGTACAGAATAACCCAGTGTATACTGTATGTAAAACATGATTGCAACTATTGTTGCTTTTTTTATGTTGACAATTAATAGGAAATGTAGCTTGATTGGTAGACTACATGTCTAGCATGCTTGAGAGTCTACATTCTTTGAATCTCAGAACCACAAAAATAAACATATGAGAGCTGGAGAGATGGCAGCACTTGGTGACTTTAGAGGACCTTTCGGTTTCCAGCATTCATGTGGCCCCTTATAACCAAGGGATCTGATGCCCTCTTCTGGCCTCTGAAGGCACTAGGCATGCATGTGATACACATACATACCTGCAGGTAAAACACAATACACTTAAAACAAATTTAAAAAGAAAAAAAAACCTAACTAGATAGGTAGGTAGGTAGGTAGATAGATAGGTAGGTAGATAGATAGATAGATACATACATACATACATACATACATACATACATACATACAATACATACATACATAGAGGACCCTGAGGGTATGAGTAGACTTGGATGGGAGGAATATAGACTATGGGACTCTTTTCAGTTTTCTAAATATATTTTTCTAGAATAAATATTTTTATAACTTTATAAAAGTCACTTGGGCTGGAGAGATGGCTCAGTGGTTAAAAGCACTGACTGCTCTTCCAGAGGACCTGAGTTCAATTCCCAGAACCCACGTGGTGGCTCACAACCATCTAAAATAGGACCTGGTGCCCTCTTCTGGCATACAGTTACACATGCAGAGCATTCATGTATAAAATATAAATATAAATAAAAATTTTAAAGTCACTTATACACACTAAGGTGGTAGCATTTCTATGCAATAACCTCTTTTGAAATTTTTTAAAAGAATTATTCACTGCATGTGTGAGTGTGGGCATGTACTTGCCACAGCACACATGTGGAGGTCAGACACAACTTTGTGGAGTCAGTTCTCACCTTCCACCTTGAGGAGCATGGTCTCTCCTGTTGCTTCTGCCACTGAACACAATACTCCTGGCTAACTAACCTATGCATTCAGCTTTTTACATAGGTTCCAGGAATCAAACACTGGTCATCAGATGTGTACACAGCTAACACTTTACCTGCCAAGCCCTCTCCTTGGCCTGTAAGAATCTTTTTTGAGTATGTATGGTGCTAGGGATTGAACCAAGGTCTTTTACATTGCAGGCTAGTGCTCTACCATTGAGCTATACTCCCAGCCCCTTAAGAATTGTTTATATCCAATATTTGCTATGTACTAAACAAATACATTTTAACAAGGCATAGTAGCACACACCCATAATCCCAGTATATGGGAGGCATAAACAAGAAGATTGTCACAAGTTTGAAGTGAGTCTAGTCTACACAGTGAGTTCCAGGACAGCCTGAGCTACAGAGTAAAATCCTGTTGGAAGGAAGGAAGGATGGAAGGGAGGGAGGGAAGACATTTTTTAAATGTTCAACACAGATATAAAGGAGTTTTCAAGTTTTTAATCTGACTAGAATGCTCTAACTCCCAAATGAAGATAAAGACCTTATTTAGGAAAAAAAAACAAAAAAAAAAACACCTATACATCCAATATTTTTACCTTTCATGCTTGCTCTCTTCTCAACCTCAGCAACTGAATTTGCTGCTTTGAGAAGATAGAAACTGCCCTATCACCACCTCCACAAGTCCCCACCAATCTCCAGTTCTTTAAAACAAAGAATTCTCACTCCATCCCCAAGTTCCCTTCTAGCACAGAGTGCTGTCCCTATTTCACTGCTCTTGTTTACAGCTACACTCTGAAGCGTCTCCTGCTGCAATTCCAATTTGTATTAGTAAGGTTTCTCTGGAGAAACAGAACCAATGGGATGAATATATTATTTAAAGAATTTATGAAGTCAGCTTTTGTTGGAGCCCATTCAGGTTTCCTAGTGGCTTTACCCAACAGGTCTGCGTAAAAGGATGATTGGACCATGGGCCTGAGTACCAGGTGTCTGAGATGGTCTGCACGTGGCTGTGCTGGGGCGGCGGTCTTATGCTCCACCCCTTGGCATCCCTTAGCCCTTTGGCAAAGACAGTCAGGGCCTGATGGATTAGGATCCAGGTCCTTCCAAGGCTATCCTGTATTTTCTATCTGTTTCTCTTCCCCTCTAAATTCCTATCTAATATTTCCTGCTGCTACTGCTCAAGAGTACCCTGGGTAAAAGTTAGGGTGGCATGGCCTCCAATGAGCTTTAAAATAGGAACAACAGCAAAATCACACCTGAGAGCTGAGAACCCAGCAGGTCTTGGTGGATGTCTGTGAATTCGAGGTCAGCCAGGGAGAGAGAGGAAGAGAGAGAGAGAGAGGAGAGGAAGAGAGAGGAGAGGAAGAGAGAGGAGAGGGGAAGAGAGAGAGGGGAGAGGGGAAGAGAGAGAGGGGAGAGGGGAAAAGGGAGAGGGGAGAGGGGAGAGGGGAAGAGAGAGAGGGGAGAGGGGAAGAGAGAGAGGGGAGAAGGGAAGAGGGAGAGGGGAGAGGGGAAGAGGGAGAGGGGAGAGGGGAAGAGGGAGAGGGGAGAGGGGAAGAGAGAGAGGGGAGAGGGGAGAGGGGAAGAGAGAGAGGGGAGAGGGGAGAGGGGAAGAGGGAGAGGGGAGAGGGGAAGAGAGAGAGGGGAGAGGGGAAGAGAGAGAGGGGAGAGGGGAGAGGGGAAGAGAGAGAGGGGAGAGGGGAGAGGGGAAGAGAGAGAGGGGAGAGGGGAGGAGAGAGAGGGGAGAGGGGAGAGGGGAAGAGAGAGAGGGGAGAGGGGAGGAGAGAGAGGGGAGAGGGGAGAGGGGAAGAGAGAGAGGGGAGAGGGGAAGAGAGAGAGGGGAGAGGGGAGAGGGGAAGAGAGAGGGGAGAGGAGAGGAAGAGAGAGGAGAGGAAGAGAGAGGAGAGGAAGTGAGAGGAGAGGAAGAGAGAGGAGGAAGAGAGAGGAAGAGAGAGGAAGAGTAGCCAGTGCTCTTAACCACTGAGCTGTCTCTACAGCTCCCTTTCTGATACCTATTTTTGTAGAATAGGCTTTCCTCAAACTCAGAGATTCACCCTCTTCTGCTTCTTAAGTGCTGGGATTAAAGGTGTGTGCCAATACCACCAGGCGGCTGCTTTCTGGTACCTTTACAAGCTATCACCGCAGGTGTCATACATCAATATTTCCCAAATATGTATTTCTCATCCTGACATCTATTCTGAACTCATACCAGGATCTCAGCTTATGTCACCCACATATAGAATGAGTCTTCTCTCCTCAGTTAAATCTCTTGAAATACTCTCACAGGTACATTTAGAGGTTCTAGGCCATTCTAAATCCCACCAAACTGACCAAATTAACCATCACATGATTACAGTCCAAAATACCCATCATAAGTTGAAACAATCATGTCAAAGGCATTTAATCCACCTAACCCTCCTACCACCATCATTTAGCAATGCTGTATATTGCAGAGTATTGGCTGTTTAGCTTTGTGATTGCACAGTTAGCTGTGAACTATGGCTCACCCCACTGCTCAGCATCACAAGAAAGTATCATACAATATACTGCTGGGGGAAAGTCAAAATGTAAAATTCAAAGTAGAGGTTCTCCTGAACGTGTATCACCTTCGCATTGCTGTAAAGCTGAAGAACTGTATGCCAGGACCATCTATAACTGTAAGCCTAGTTTTATGCACAATAAAAACACCAAAAAGTGAAAATGAAAGCAAATCAACATTTGACAGTATGCCTCCAGCAAACTACGAGTAGAGGAAATCTATAGAATGGACAGTAAGCAGAGGAAAAATACAACAGTGCCTCTTTGTCTGAAGGAGGTTCCTTAGTTTCATCTCTGTCTCAGTGACCCACTGTCAAATCAAAGTTATGTTAACTAAGGAAATTGATGAACGTGCAGAGTCATCCACAGAGCAAAAGGAAAGTGAAAAAGAAGAAACTGAGCTGAATGTGTTAGCGCCAGGTATGCTGGGAAGAGCCAGGAAAAAAGAGGGTTGAACACTAGCTGTACCATTAGATATCCACTGAGAATCCTGGAAAACATCTCCAGCAAATAAGTGGGAGAGAGCTGCAATCTCAAGAGGAAGCTGAGATGTACAAAGCCATAAACATCAAAGCAAGTTGGAATTATGAATATAAATCTTTGCAAACACCGTATGAAATAGCAGTAGTATCAAGTGGGATTTTAAAAAAACAGTAACAATATCATGCTTCAGGAAGAAGTAAATGGCGATACTATCCAGAAAAGATATGAAGATATTAAGGCTAGACTCCTATAAGTTACTATAAAATTACATAATTTCTACTAATCAAAAAATAGTAGAAGTGTGAAATTTGCAAATTAGTAGAGGGGAAAAATATAATGATGAAATCAATAAAATGAAAAGTCGATTAAAAGAAACAGGACAATGGGAAATAAATAGAAAGTAAAAAGATAGGAGATTTGAAATCAAATATACTCATAACAATGTTAAATGTAATAGATTAGTATTTCAATTAAAATATAAAGACTATCTGATTAATAATTTCTATTTGTCCCAATATGTCACTTACAAAAAACTATCTTCTAAAATATAAGGACAAGAATATTGAAAGTAAAACAAAGAAAATATGATAGACATATACGAATTAAGAGAAAGCTGTGGGAACTGGAGAGATGGTTCAGTGGTTAAGAGCATGTGCTGCTCTTGCAGAGGACCATGGTTCAGTTCCTAGCACCCATGTAGTGGATAACAACAACCTGTTAACTCCAGTTCCAGACGATTCGACACCCTCTTCTGACCTCAATAGGCCCCAGCTGTGCACATGCTGCACATACATGCATGCAGATAAAACACTCATAAAATATAATTTTTAAAAAATCTTAAATGAAAACATATTCATAGTTGAGCAATGGTGGCACATGCCTTTAACACCAGCACTTGAGAGGCAGAGACAGGTGGATCTCTGAGTTCAAGGTCAGCCTGGTCTACAGAGTTCCGGGGTAGGGTTACACAGAGAAACCCTGTCTTGAGCCCTCCACCCCACCCCAAAAAAGCCTTAAAAGAGAAAACTGGTATAGCAATTGTATCAATGTGGGATAAATTCTACTTTTAAGACATTTCTAAGCAGAGCTGGTGGTGCAGTTCTGTAATCCCAGATACCTGAGAGGCTGAGATGGGGCATCAGAAACCAAGACCTACTTTGGCTACAGAGTGATTCAAGGCCAGCTCTCATAAGTTAGTAAGACCCTATCGCATAATAAAAAGTAAGAAAAGAGGGATGGAGTATAACTCAGCAGTAGAGCATACACCCAGCATGTGCAAGATCCCGGTTCAATCCTCAGTACTGGAATAAAAAGGTATTATTAGAGAAAAGATGGTTACTTTCTATCAGTACAAAAAGTTCATTGTGTAAGGAACAAATGCTATGGTAAAAGCTGGTCACACCTAAAGCTGGCCAAAGTGACATAAACCTGAATTCTCAGTACTTAGGAGGCTCAGGCAGGAGGATCCTAAGTGAAAGGCTAGTCCAGGATACTCAGCAAGACCTTGTCAAAGAGCAGAAACAGCAACAAAATCCTGTATGCACCTAATAAGACAGTTTTGGTTTTCTGTTTGTTTTTCTTTGCTGAGGATAGAACTCAGGGCATTGAAGATATCAGTCAAGGGCTCTATGCTCAGATATATCTCCAGGCCAAGATAGTCTCAAAATACATAAAATAGCTAGGCATGGTGGCATAGGCCGTTAATCCTAGCATTCATGAAGCAGGTAGATCTCTGTGAGTTTGAGGCCAGCCTGGTCTACATAGTGAGTTCCAGGTCAGCCAAGGCTACATAGAGAGACCTTGTTTTAAAACAAACACATATATATGTTCTATATGTGTGTATGTATATATACATATCTTTGTTTAATATATGTTTAGCATATATTAAAGCTGTCAAAACTAAAAGAGAATATAAACAAATCTATGATGATATTACTATAATATTCAAAGATATCAACATGTCCAGTAATTGACTAAATAAGCAGTCAGAATATCAATAAGGATACTAAGGTCTGAACAACAGCATTAACAAAATTGATCTCTTGATAGAAAACTATACCTCACAACTACAGCATACCTTCTGTCAAGTACATAAAAATAAGTTCTCACTGGGTGGTGGTGGCGCATGCCTTTAATCCCAGCACTTGGGAGGCAGAACCAGGCAGATCTCTGTGAGTTCAAGGTCAGCCTGGTCTACATAGCAAGTTCCAGAACAGCCAGAGCTATTACACAGAGAAACCCTGTCTTGAAAAACAAACAAACAAACAAATCTCTTAAGTCAAACATGGTAGCTCACATCTGTAATCCTAGGACTCATGAGGCAAGAGGATTACTGTGAGCTCAATGCCAGCCTGTGCAATAAGTATAAGACCCTGCCTGCCGCCCCCTCCCCCCAAAAACATAAAATAAACTAATTAATTGACTCTATACCTAAGCCTTAAAACAAATCTCAACCAATTTCAAAGTAGTGAAATCTTATAGAATGTCTCCTACCATTATATAGTTAAACTAGAGTCAATAACTAAATTCTTCTATATATTTTGAAATTAAGACACATGTTGAAAATAGAAATTGGAAAATATTTTAAATGGATTATGTTTTCCAGCAAGCTTCAGTCAGTCTGTCTACCAGTGGGACCAACTCCACAGCCACAGGAATGCATGCCAAAAAACCTCATTTTTAAGCCAACTTCTCCTGACAACAAATAACTTCTGCAGACAGACAAAGAGAGATGCAGAAGGGAAAAAACAAGGAGACTGGACGAGGCTCTAAAGCAGAGTTCTCAACCTGTGGATGGCGACCCCTTTGGAAGTCACATAGCAGATATCCTGCATATTAGATATTTACATTACAGTTCAAAACAGTAGCAAAATTATAGTATGAAGCAGTAACAAAAATAGTTTTATGGTTGGGGTCACCACCACATGAGGAGCTGTATTAAAGGGTTGCAGCATCAGGAAGGTTGAGAAAGGCAGATAAGCAGAGGAGGAAAAGAGCAGGGGCAGATAATGGTCTGAAACCAGGTAGGAAACGGAAGGCGGCACTGTTCCAAAGGCTGGCTGCCCTGCTGGGCATGGTTCATGCCTTTAATCCCAGAACTTGGAAAGCTGAGGCAGGAGACCCAGCCTGGGCGACAGAGACTTGGCCTCCAAGAGAGGTTCACTGCAAAGCCACTTTCTATTCCACCTGTACTTTTAATACTACTCTTGCCATTAAAACAGTCTTGTTATACCCAAACCACTCTTCAGTAAAATCTTTGGAAGGCAAAGAAGAAAGAAAGTATTTTAAACATAATGCAAATGCATATGCTTGTAATTTCAGCACTCAGGAGGCCCAGACAAAGGGATTAGAGGCTCCAGGGTAGTGAGCTATGCAGTGAGAGCCAGTCCCAAAGGCAAAAATACATGAATAAAGTAAAAGTTAAGGGGTGTAATTAAGTAATACTTAGAGGAAAACTGAAAAGTCTCAAATACTGTTTCACAAAAGCAGAAAGCTAAAAATGAATGACCTGAGTGCTATTTTAAAAAGACAAAAGAAGCAGAAAGCTCCCCACTCCCATAACCCAAAAATCAAAAAATTAAAAGGCCTTATGAAACAAAACAAAAACAAACAATCAAACAAAAGCCTGGGCAAAATGAGAGGGAAGGTGGGAAGAGAGAATAGGAGTGGGGTAAATCCTTCAAACAGGATCTTTATGACCATTTTGTTCCAAAATTTGAAAATTCAAAAGAGATGGACAAATTCCTAGAAATACTCATGATTCAAAAAGAATGTAGAAAACCTAAGTGATCCTAAGAAAATGATGTAAGTTGCATATGGAATATGTAGATAGTGTTTGCATCCCAATCAAAATTAATTTCACTGGAAAAACATTAAAACTGAATATTAATTAAACATATATTAATGAGCTGTATTATTTTTAGAGGTATATTAGTTAATATTGATAACATTTATATTATATTTATTTCTAGATAAAGTATTTGAAAGTAAAATATTATTTCAAGATTTGCATCTAAATAATCTTGGTTAGTCCTAGCACTTGGGAGGCAGGAGAATCTCAAGTCCTACACAGTGAGGCCTCATCTCAAATGTGAGAAAAAATACCTGTAAGGAGGAAGATGAAGAGGAAGAAGGGGAAGACGGAGAAGGGAAAAGTATATAGTTGAAATTAGATTGAAAACTGATAAAGATAAAAGTGAGAGGTGCAGGAGAGATCTCTATACTTGGGGTTGAATATTTAAAGAACTAAATCTGTAGTTATCACGGCCACTCTTAGCTCTCGCCTCAGCCCTCACTCCTGCTTCCTCTCACCGGTGCTGCAGGCACACTGGAGCACTCCAAGCCCATTTCTACTTCCGGAGACTTCCAATGATCTTTTTTGACATGGCTAGCTCCCCTGTTTCATTAGGGGCCTCTAAGCTTTGTAGTTCAGTTTTTTGGGGTTTTTTTAGTTTTTCGAGACAGGGTTTCTCTGTGTAGCTTTGCGTTTTTCCTGGAACTCGCTTTGTAGAGCAGGCTGGCCTCAAACTCACAGAGATCCGCCTGCCTCTGCCTCCCAAGTGCTGGGATTAAAGGCGTGCGCCACCACCGCCCTGTAGTTCAGTTTCTTATCAGAATGCTTTTCTCTGAATGCTATAAAATCACACATGACTACGTTTCACCCTCCAGTTCGATTAGAAATGTAACCTTCCTGAGGAGTGTGTGTCCGGCTCACTCCTCACTGCAGCATCTGAAAGTGACGGGCTCACTGTAGCTAACTCATATGTGAAATGAATACTTTGCTGTTGAGTAAAACCAATAAAATCAATGAAAGAGCACTTGAAGAAAGCCAAATATTTCAGAACTTGTGTGTTGCCCAAGTGTGGCTGATGAGATGGTTCAGCAGGTAAGAAACCTGACAACCTGAGTTTGGGCCCTGGAATTCACAAAGTGATGAGAGAGACCTTCTTCAAGTTACCATTTAACCTCCACAAACCACAAGCATGCTGTGGCACACACACACACACACACACACACACACACACACACACACACACACACGGGAGGGGGTGTTGTAAATTTTTGCGACTTACTGTGTATCTGTTTCTGACTTGTGCCTCATCTCCACGATTTCTACCATGAAGAGATCAATAGGGAGACCTGGTCTTCTAACAGCCAGGACAGAATCCACCACAGCCTGAAAGAGAAGCATGGGGGTGGGGGAAGGGCATATTACCAGGACTGAAAGAAACTCCTGGTCCAAGCGACCTGTCACCAGACTAACCAGGGAAAGGGCTTCAGGCTTCAAAGCCAAAGGCATGGCCATCAAGTGCCACACTTGGCACATTTGTGTTTCTTAAGGCAAATTAACAGCAGAGCGTTCTGTTTCACAGGGCAGTGCCTCTTGAATTTGGTTATTGCGAATTTCTCATTCCTGATTTTGAGAAACAGCAAAGCTGAGGAACAACATAATCAAATGATAAGCACCAGATGCAAAGTCTTCCAGAACTGCCCAGGCAGTTTTGTCTTTACATTGCATATAGTTTACCTTTAGCAGTCAATCAAATAAACGTGAGACTCTTATATATCAGCTCAATCTTGCCGCATTAAAGCAACAACCCTAACTACAAGGCAACTGCCAAAACAGCCTGCTCATGTGTCGCCTGATACAGTCAAGTATGGACCTTTAGGGTTAGCTGAATATACTGTCCGAGAGCTTCCATAAGAGATGAGCCACAGGAAGTCAAGCCTCTCCCAACTTTCAAGTCATGTAAGCACTAATGAGACACCTTAGGAAAATTAGTGTTGTGATCAATTGAATTTTAAATGTTTGCCTTCTTCTTTTATATTTCTGAAAAGTCATGTGCAACATTTAGTTGTCTTATAGAAAAGAAGAAGAATATCACCACATGTCTGGCTATCCTTGCTAGACAACAGTGGATCATATACCTCTGTTAACACGTCAGCCAGTTCAGCATGAACTTTTGTTCGCAGGGATGTTCTAGCCACATCTAAGAGGATTTCTCTTTTCATCTCCTTTTCCACTTTAATTTCATCCAAAACTTCAAGTGCTTTCGTCTTTGCAGCATCAAATCCTTCAGCTATGATTCTAGGGTGCAGGCCCTGGTGTAACAACATAAATACACAAATCACACAGCAACCATGCAAAGTAAAAGGCAGCTATGCTCTCTTTAATAAGTATGTGACCCACAGTGATGGCACTAATGTAAGTATGCATCATTCATATATTATTTCTCAGGCTTCATATCTGAAACAATATCTTAAAATGTATATGAGTGTTTAAAATGTATATGGCTCACACAACTTAAAAGTAGCAATGTCAACCAGGTGTGGTGTCTCACGCCTTTAGTCCCAGAACTTGAGAGGCAAAGGCAGATGGACCTCTGTGAGTTCAAGTCCAGCCTGATCTACATAGTGAGTTCTGGGACAGCCACGGCTATGTAGAGAGACCCTGTCTCAAAAAAAAAAAAAAGTAGCAATGTCAGGAGTGGAAAGATGTCTCAGGAGTTAAGAGCACTTATTGCTCTTACAGACAACCTGGATTCAGTTCCCAGAGCCCACATGGTGGCCCACAATCATCCATAATTCCAGTTCCAAGGAATATAATGTTCTCTTCTGAATTTCAAGGGCACCAGGCACACATATGGTTGACATACATATATGCAGGCAAAACATGCATATACATGAAATAAAAATAAATAAGCCTAAAGTATTTTTAAGTAGCAATTCCAGGCCAGCAAGATGGCTCAGGAGGTAAAGGTGCTTGCCACCAAGACGGACAACCTGAGTTTGCTCCCAGGACCCACATAGCGAAAGGGAAGAACTGACTCTCACAGGTTGACCTCTAATCTCCACATACAACTAACCAGAGTGATTTTTTTTAAGTAGCAATGCCATGAACTATAAAAGGCACTTCAGGAACTATTTCAGCTTAAAGGAAACTAAAGGAACATGACAATTAAACACAATGCATTATCCTAGAGTTTCCTTTTTCTGTGAAAGACAAGCGGTGAAATTTGAAAGAAATCTGCAGACTAGATAATAGTATACTCTGTGAGCTGTTGATGTGAAGACTAATTTCCTCTTTTATATACATAAGTTGTGACTATATATAAGAATTCAGTGATGCTAAAAATTATACACTAAGTGCTGGGAGGACATGGCTGTAACGCTAGCACTTGGGAGGCTGGGGCAAGAAGGTGGTGAGTTAGAAGTCAATACTGGGGTTGAGAATTTAGCTCAGTGGTAGAGCACTTGCCTAGCAAGCACAAGGTCCTGGGTTCAGTCCTCAGCTGGGGGGGGGGGGGGGGGAGAAGTCAGTACCATCTACACAACAAGTTTGGGACCAGACTGAGCTACATGTGAAATCTGTCTCAAAACAGAAACAAACAAACAAACAAAACACAAAGAAAAAAGTTCCGCTGAAATTAGGACACGTTTGCAACTTACTCTCACCCACTCAGAAAACATTTAGATGCCTAACATTAATTACATGTCTCACAGAAAACATAGCAGAGTTACAATAATGCTTTTAGAAACCTGGATAAATGTTATATGCTGATTCTTCACAATATTCTTGCAACTTTTCTGTGAGTCTAAAATTCTGACCAAAATCAATTTTTCTGAGACAGTGTCTCATCATGAGCCCAAACTGCCCTCAAACTTGCAGTCTCCCTGCTTCCGCCTCTTGAGTCCTAGAATTACAGGCATGTACCACCACACCTGGCTCACAAAATTAAAAGGTTTTCAAATACTATTAAGACTGAGGATATAGCGTAGGGGTAGAGCAATTGCCTAGGATGAAAAAAGTCCTTGGTCTTTGAAATAGTCATCAAAAGAAATAGTAGTATTATTTATTCTCTTTTTTGGTATTTGTGTATATTTTCTATCTTTTATGTATGGTGTGTGGATGCTGGTGAATGTACATGCCACAGCATGAGTGTGAAGGTCAGAAGGTAACTTTGGAACCTTAGATGTTGGTCATTGCCTTCCACCTTGATTGAGGCAAGGTCTCTTTTATTGCCATACTTTCCAGGCTTGCTGGCCTATGAGCTTCAGGGCATTTTCCTGGCTTTGCCCCATCTCCGGTAGGAACACTGGAGTTACAGACACATGTTGCCATGCTCAGTTTGACAAGGGTCTGAGGATTCAAACTCAGGTCCTCACACTGGGACAGCAAGCACTTTACCCACTAAGCCATCTCTCCACTCCCCAGGATTGTTTATTTTGCAAAATAATAATAAACATTGTGAAAGCATGAACCACACGAAAGGCATAAACCACAGTTCCTTCACTTCATTTCTTTGCGTTATTCCTATAATACTTAAAAGGTGACACTGAGCATTTGTGCTGGACATAATTCTAAGGGCTCTATGTGAATTATCTCATTTGATCCTCTCAACAACAGTATAAAGTGGGTCCTATTATTGCTCTACACAGATAATGTAATTTGTCTTACATCAGCAAGCAGTTCAGAAATGGAGCCAAGATTTAAATCTGTAAGACCCAACACTCTAATCCAACCTGTTCTATTATCATTTGTAAAAATTTCCTCAATCTAGGTCTTCATAATCATTTCATAATGGACTACTAGAAGAACCTTGATTGTGGATTCCTTAGAATTGTCCCCAAATATTTAAAATGCCAATCTGTCCACAGCAGTCATTAATATGCTACTCTTTGGTCTGCTCACTACAACAGTAAATCATACACTTCTTGACCAGCTAGTGCTCCTCACCCTCTGAGATTGTTTTCCACTTTCTTCCACAACCTCTTCATACTCACACACATCCCCTCAAACTCCAGTAACACCAAATGCTTATAGTTCTGTACCAATTTGAGGGTGGAGCTTTGGCCTGGAACACTATGTGCCTCACATTCCATCCTGAAGACTTTGTGTTCAAGATCCTCACCTGGATGTTTCCTGGCTACTGCAGGCTAATTTAGCATCTCCATGTGTCCCTGGTGTTTCTATCATATCCTGTGCCTCACTTTATTAATGTTCAGATATACACTATGGATCTGGCAACACCTTACCACTGACACTCTCCTTTCTTCTTCACCTAACCCTGATTTTCAGAAGATGTCCATCTTTAACCTGTGCTTCAAGGGAATCTTAACCCTAGCTCAAGCAGTGGGGTCTAGATCAGCCTAATCAACTCTCCTGACAATGGTTATCAGTTTAAGATGAGCATAAGACTAAGGTTGGACCAAGGAAGAATTCATATGCTATAGCTGGAGGAATGTCTTTATCTTGACCTCTCCTGCTGAGTCTTACCAAGGGAAATAAGTAGCCCTGACTTCCTCTGATGGTCTGACCTTCAAGATCCAGCTTAGAATGAAGCCGTATTATATGCAGAAGAGTTTAGAGACCAAAAGGACCTGGGCACTTGATGGCCGATTGAACTTTTAAATTTACCAGTCACAGACCCTACCTTATCCCTCACTGTTCTCTTGTAGGAGATGATGATTTCTGCATAGTTTTAGTCAAGAGAGTTTTAGTCAAGTTTCCACTGTTTAAGCCCAAATCATTCTAAATGAGATAAGTTACAGACACTGAATGGATAATTCCCAATACTAAATGGAACACAAAGAATCTCCATTTTGACCAAGTTATGCCTCGCCAAGATAGTCTCTGAATGAGAGGAAATACTCAAATAATTCTAAAAAAGACACGCAATGTTGAGAAAAGAATATGACTGAACAAAGGCACAGACACAGAAATTCGAATGATGATTCCACAGGAGTCCAGCGAGGTGGTTTATAAAGGAAAGAGGAATTAGAAAATTAAACACATGCACAAGGTGAAAAGCCTTCAGTAATTTTTCCCCAGTTAATTTTAAAGGAACATAATTTTGTTTCAACTTTTATTAGTTACATTTTTTGTAAGTATGATTCATGGGTATACGTGGGTTTTTTTTAACCTTTCTATACATCTTTAAATATTTTATATTTTTAAAAGTATATAACTGCAATAAAAGCCATTGCTTTGGCAGAAAATAAAAATCAGTTTCCACTCACAACTGCCTAAGATTATCTTAATTGTAATTAGTTCTTATTCTTTAAAATTGAACTTAAAAAAAAAAACTTCCTTTGAAATAGTGTGAAATTTTAATACCTCAGAAATGTAAAGATCGGCTTGTTTGAGCAACTCCCCAATGATCAGGACATTCGAGGTGGTGCCGTCTCCTGTGACATGGTCCTGGGCTGCTGCCACTTTTGCTATGATGGAAGCTGTTGGATGTTGAATTTGCTGGAAAAGGTAAACACCAGATTGAAAAAGACTGTGATAAAGAAGGCCACTACACTGAAGATAACCCAAGGGTCAATAGTAAAATTAAGAAACAAACTTTATTCTGCACATTTACAGGTTTTACACTATCAATATTTAGTAAATGTCAAATTCAAAATTTTAAAGTTGAGAATTAATGAGGTTTGAACATTTTATAAAAGTCTTTGCTTCAAAATGCAATGACATTTCCAAGAAAAGATTAAGCCCTTCAATCTCAAAGATGAATACATTTATGAAAATGGCAAAGGACTTTTCTTTTTCCATGATTACAAAGACTACAATGAAGTGCTCCAAAAATATTAATTTTTAAGTATTCCTAAGCTATTAGACTCTATAAACATTTGAAAATAGCCAAAATTCAGTTTGATGTTTAAACCAACAACCATATCTCAAGACTGTAGCTTTTAGCTGATAGCCTTATCTGTTTGTTTGTTTTTTTGTTTTGTTTTGTTTTGGTTTGGTTTTGGTTTTTTGAGAGAGGGTTTCTCTGTGTAGCTTTGGCGCCTTTCCTGGAACTCACTTTGTAGCCCAGGCTAGCCTCAAACTCATAGAGATCTGCCTGCCTCTGCCTCTCGAGTGCTGGGATTAAAGACATGTGCCAGCACCACCCAGCGTTGATAGCCTTATCTTAAAAATACAAATTGTGATGCCAGACAGCAGTGGTGGCACACGCCTTTAATCCCAGCCCTTGGGAGGCAGAGGCAGGTGAATCTCTGTGAGTTTGAGGCCAGGCTGGTCTACAGAGTGAGTTCCAGGACAGCCAGAGCTACACAGAGGAATCCTATCTCAACCTCCCCCCCCCCAAAATGGCTAGAGAGATAGTCAGCCATTAAGAGTATGTTCTATTCTTCCAGAAAAGTGGAGTTTGGTTCCCACCACCCATTAACAGGTGACTTACAATTGCCTTAAGTCCAGCTCCAGGGGATCTGACACCCTTCTCTGGCCTCTGCAGGCACCAGCATGCATGTGACACACACTCATACAGATAGACACTCGGGGCTGGAGAGATGGCTCAGTAGTTAAGAGCACTGGCTGCTCTTCTAGAGGTCCAGAGTTCAATTCCCAGCAACCACATGGTGGCTCACAGATAGACACTCATACACATAAAATTTAAAAACCAATAAATCTTTAAAAATACAAATTATAAGATTGAAGCTATCCCTTAGTGGTAAAGAGCACTTGCCTAGCATATGCTCAATCCCTAGCGTTGCAAAAGTTATTTCTTAAAATTTTTTTTCAAGACAAGGTTCTCTGTGTAGTCCTAGCTGTCCTGGAATTCACTCTATTGACCAGGCTGACCTCAAACTCAGAGATCCACCTGCCTCTGCCTCCTGAGTGCTGGGATTAAAGGTGTGCACCACTAAGCCTGGCTAAAATATTTTTTCTTTCATTTTATGTGCATTGGTGTTTTCCCTACATGTATGTCTGTATGAGGGTATCAGATCCCCTAGAACTGGAGGTACACAATTGTGAGCTGCCATGTGGGTTCTGAGAGTTGAAGCTGGGTCCTCTGGAACAGCCAGTGCTCTTAACCAATGAGCCATCTCTCCAGCCCACAAAAATATCTTTAAATAAATAAACTTGCATATGATATACAAAGCATACCCTTTCCCCACAGTGTTGAATCTAGAATCTTGCATGTGCTAGGGAAGTGCTCTACCACTGAGGTGCATACTCAGCCTGTGTGCTATTTGTTAAATTAAGGCTTATTAAAGCCAGCAGCAGCTGGGCATTGTATTGAATGCCTAAATCCAACAGCCAGGAGGCTGAGGCAGGATGATGAGTTTGTGGCCAGCCATATTCTGTCTGAGAATATTCTGTCTCAGAAAAGAAAATGAATAAGAGCATTAGCTCACCATCTCATGAAGCAGTACATTGCCGTCTTTTGTGAGTTTGATGTCACCTGCCCCAGAAACAAGCCTGTTCAAAGAACAATGGTACTTATTAACTCCACAAGTCAAGAATCAAAAAGCACTCACTCCCACTTCTTGCCATCCACTGTTCTAAACACAGATGATTAGGCTTGGAAATTCTCCATCGAATGAGGTGATACTGTGGTAATGACTGCCACTTGCATCTCATAGAATTATTTCTCCCAGGTGACCTTCTAGTGATTTCATTCCAAATGGAGCATTTATGGGCTTACAGAGTAGCTGATGGGTTATAAACATTGGCTAATGAAAAGTATAAAACAAAGAACAAATCTGCAAATTTCCTGTAGGTTCTTTATTTTGGTAAATGTCATAAGTCAGTCACTGAATTTAGTTGCCTCATTCCTGCATTTATTAAATGCACCAAGCTCTGTCAATTCTACAATTTAAATACCTTTAAATCTTCACCTCTTCTCTCCAATTTTATTATCATTTCTAGACTACTTAGACAGTCATCTTGTCTCCAAATTTGAATCAACTCTCTGCACTCTATTTTTCTAAAGGGCAATGTGACTCAGTTTCCTGACCAAGAATCCTGCAGTGAATTTATGTTCTCTACCATCTTCAAGGTAAAAGTCAAAGTAATTTAACAGTAACATGCTTGGCTTTTTCCCAAACTCTCCTGTTCCATTGATTATCATTCCCACAGTAGGTCTTTCAGTCCCCTTAATGCATTATAATGTTAATTTCTGATGGATTTACACCACTGGGAGGCCTTTAGTCCCTTCACCAACTGCTCAATTCATTCTTCTACAACTCTGATCAAACATCACTGCTGTGGGATGTTCTGTATGTCAAATGTGTTGCTGATTAGTCAATAATTAAAACACTGATTGGCCATTGGCTAGGCAGGAAGTGTAGGCGGGACAAGGAGGAGAATAAAGCTGGGAAGTGGAAGGCTGAGTCAGAGAGACACTACCAGCCACCACGATGAAAAAACAGCATGTGAAGATGCCTGGTAAGCCACGAGCCATGTGGCAAGGTATAGATTTATAAAAATGGATTAATTTAAGCTGAAAGAACAGTTAGCAAGAAGCCTGCCATGGCCATACAGTTTGAAACCAATACAAGTCTCTGTGTTTACTTGGTCGGGTCTGACGGCTGTGGGACTGGCAGGTGAGAGAGATTTGCCCTGACTGTGGGCCAGGCAGGAAAACTCTACCAACAAATGGCGTCCAACGTGGTGGCAAGAGTTTCCACCTAAAACCTGAGAAAAGATTCTAAAACGGAGCTAAAAACAGTTCCTAATTGTCTCTCTCAAATGAGCGGCAGCTGCTGGTTTGAGCTACTGGTGGGTTCCTAGCGTGCGTGCTCGACCTGCCTATGGCGGGAATGAGGCCTTTGCAAGTGGCACATTAAGCAGCATGGTGGATTTAGCCTTTGCAGGTACAAAACAAAAAAAAGAGGTTTCTGGACTACATGCTGCTTGGCTAAAAGCATAGACCCCCGATAGCTCCCAGAGCTGGCGGTAAACCATGGCCATGTTGGGAAGCTGAGGTGGGTGGAGCCATCAGCCACAGCTGCTGCAGTTTAAGGCAATAGATTCACAATAAGACAGATTCAGATGTAATAGTTTACAATGTGTGTAAAAGATACGTAGGCTTGAAAGAGACAAAAAAGATGATATATAGAGTTATAGAAATAAATACATAGTTTTAAAAAATAAAGTCTTTAAAGAGACAGTAAAGGTAGTATAAAAAATAAGCCACGTAAAAATGGATATTACACAGAGAATCTGCATTGTGTTGTCTTTGGGACTTTTAACTGCAGAAAAATATTTGATTGTAAAAGCTGTTGAGTTATGCCAAAATGTATATTTTAAAGGTACCTTGACTTCAAAATTTGGATATAAGGATATGTTACTTTGGAAAGGAGACTCTGCTTTTGTTCCCACAGAAAGCCAAAGGCTATGGATTTGTTCCAGATTAAGATACATCAGGTTTGACCAGCCAAGACCCCCTGAAAGGTCTCTGATGACACCATGGCCCAGATGATCCAACATCCAGAATGGTTTGAAGGCAACTGGCTCAGACGATACACCCTCATGGACTTTTCCATGATCCTAAAATTTTCTTTGTATCCCCATAAGATACAGCGCCCCCCTCCAGCAGGAAGTAGTAAGAGAAGCTACGCCCAAATTCCCAAATTATATGTAATTTTACTTTGTTAAGGTTAAAACCTTCCTTTTTTTTTTTTAAAAAAAAAGGGGGGAAGTGCTGTGGGATGTTCTGTATGTCAAATGTGTTGCTGATTAGTCAATAATTAAAACACTGATTGGCCATTGGCTAGGCAGGAAGTGTAGGCGGGACAAGGAGGAGAATAAAGCTGGGAAGTGGAAGGCTGAGTCAGAGAGACACTACCAGCCACCACGATGAAAAAACAGCATGTGAAGATGCCTGGTAAGCCACGAGCCATGTGGCAAGGTATAGATTTATAAAAATGGATTAATTTAAGCTGAAAGAACAGTTAGCAAGAAGCCTGCCATGGCCATACAGTTTGAAACCAATACAAGTCTCTGTGTTTACTTGGGTCTGACGGCTGTGGGACTGGCAGGTGAGAGAGATTTGCCCTGACTGTGGGCCAGGCAGGAAAACTCTACCAACACATCACCTGTTATCTGAGAGGCTTTTCCTTTAGCCATCGGTAATTGGACGCTTACCTCTGTAAAATCGTTTACATCTATATATAATTGACACACCTGTCACTACTATGTCACCTTAAGAACAGATGCTATCTCAAGGGCTGGAGAGATGGCTCAGTAGTTAAAAGCATTTACTGTTCTTACAGAGGATCTGATCTTGGTTTCCAGCACCCATATCAGATGGCTCACAACTGCCTATAACTCAAGTTCAGGGGATCTGACATCCTCTGACCTCTGGGGGCATCTGCACACACCTGATGCACATAAACTCAGACAGGTGCACACACATAAGTTAAAATAAATCAACCTTGTTTAAAGAAAAGAACAGAAATTATCTCATCTGTTTTCCCAGCATCTAGTGTTAAGTGGCCTCATTTACTATTAATATTAGTTTGCTCATTCCTCTGGGGGTGTCACTTTCCTAAGAGACCTTTTGTTCTCCCCACTCTCTTCTTCCTATGTAAAACAATGGTGCCAAACAAACGTATGTCCAAATGGATGAATAACTATAAAGAACTCTAGGTACAGAGTTGCAAGAACTTGATTAAGTACTAACAGATGGGAAGATGATGGACCCTGAATTTGAACCTATGCCTGCCTAGCTCCAAAGCCAGTACAACACACTGCCAAGTCAAAACAATCCTGTCTACGGTGGGGCTGCAGTCCAACGTCTGCTGAGCGCGTGCACAGGCTTATTAAGTTCATCCCCAACAGGAGAGGGGTGGAGTGAGCTCCAGAAGCGTTCAAGACTTAACGTTTCCAGTGAGCCACGGTATGAATGGGCTGTTTATGAACCATAGCGAAAAGGGGAGGGTGTCACAGCTTCTACTGGCAGGGCCTTTTCTCCTCGGCAAACAGGCTAGAGATCTCAGAGAGCGGAATGTGAGAGGGAGGAAAACCCGGCGTCTAAGCACATCAGCTCTGCTCGCAGGTCTTCACTGAATTATCAGCAGCAGCCTCAAAGGGCGCCGCGACACCCCACACACCCTAGCGGCATCTCACATTTTTAGTGCGCCCTTAGGACCCAAGCTGGGCCGCAGCACATCCTGCAGCCCTCGGGCGGCGCATATGTTCACAGCCAAGGCCGCCTGGCTGCGCGTCACCTCAGCCCTGGGGTTGGCGACTTTGATCGCAGCCATGGGTTCAACGGTTCAGCCCTCAACTTGCCGAGTCGGAACCCTGGCGCCACGCCCACACGCCTGAGCTTCGGCCAATCGACCCCATAACAGGAAGTGACGCTATCACGCCTCGCCGGGACGGAAGCCAGAAGCGCCTGAATCGCCGGCCCAAAGATGGCGTCCTCCGCTTCTGCTGGGACCCCGGCGGGGAAGCGGGTGGTGAATCAGGAAGAACTGAGGCGGTTGATGAAGGAGAAGCAGCGCCTGAGCACCAACCGGAAGAGGATAGAATCTCCGTTCGCCAAGTACAACCGTCTGGGGCAGTTGAGCTGCGCACTTTGTAACACTCCGGTCAAGAGCGAGCTCCTGTGGCAGACCCATGTTCTGGGAAAGCAGCACCGGGAGAGAGTAGCCGAGCTGAAAGGCGCCAAGGGAGCAACCCAGGGCCCGTCCGCCAGCGCGGCGCCTCAGCCCATCAAGAGGAGAGCGACGGATGCGGAGAGCCATGACGCCAAGAGAACCAAGGCCTCCGTGGGACCTCAGGTACAGCCCTCCACCTCGGCCTCGCCCGCCAACTTTGAGAAATCGGGAAAAGAGGCCGCTAGGGCAACCTCCAGTAAACCTTCTGGACTCGGTTTACTCCCTGATTATGAAGATGAGGAAGAGGAGGAGGAAGAAGAGGGAGGTGGAGAAGGAAGAAGGGACAGCAGCAAGCATCTTCCAGATGCACAGGGCAAAACCAAAGAACATTCGCTTGCCTCTCCGACAAGTAATGTGCTGCCAAATGATCCCTTTAATACAAATCCTCCCAAGGCCCCCTTAGTTCCTCATTCAGGGTCAATTGAGAAAGCAGAAATACATGAAAAAGTGGTGGAAAGGAGAGAGAACACCGCCGAAGCATTACCAGAAGGGTTCTTCGACGACCCTGAGGTAGATGCAAAGGTCCGGAAGGTTGATGCCCCCAAAGATCAAATGGACAAAGAGTGGGACGAGTTTCAAAAGGCCATGAGGCAAGTCAACACTATTTCCGAAGCTATAGTTGCTGAAGAGGATGAGGAGGGACGGTTGGATCGGCAGATTGGAGAGATTGATGAGCAGATAGAGTGTTACCGTCGGGTGGAAAAGCTGCGGAATCGCCAGGATGAAATAAAAAACAAACTTAAAGAGGTTCTGACCATAAAAGAATTACAGAAGAAGGAAGAAGAGAATGTGGACAGTGATGACGAGGGAGAATTACAGGATTTGCTGTCTCAGGATTGGCGGGTGAAAGGGGCTTTGCTGTAAGGTTTTGAAGATCCAAGCTTTCCATCATTCTCCGCTACCCCGTAAAAAGTGCTGTGTTCTAGTACTTGTGTTACTCTAGCCTTGGGTACCCTGAGTTGTTGAGATAAAATAAGCTAGTGAGCAGTAATACTTCGGGGAAGGTACAGCGGTGCTATTTATTATAAAATGTTTAAGGTAAATCTGTTTTTGAAATTATAACTGCAAATTGCCAACTTTTTCGTGTTTACAGACTTAATGTTGATTTTCAGTTGTAAATACTGTACATAGCTAAATATATATTTACATAAGTCACTGTTTTGAAACTTATAAATAGAAGTCAGACCAAAAAGACACAAGTTTCTATGACCTCGATGTGCATATATATTTTCAAGCCTTAAACTCCAGGGTTTGGGGCTTTGGGGAGCTTGTTTTTAAAAGGCTACTCATAAACACGTATATTTTTTCATAAAGCAGTGAATGAATATTCTTTTTTCAAAAGCATATTTCATGAGATCACTGAGAAAAACATGCCACAAATGCCCAACCTCCTTAAGCCAACATTTCTTTGGACAAGACCAATGATTGTCAAAAATGTAGGTCAGTATCGCCTGTGAAACTTTTGATTGTGCATTGAATGTCAAATCACCTATGCAACATTAGTGCCTGAACCCTAGCCTTAGATTCCATAAATCTAAAGGGGTCCAGATGACAGTATTCTTGAATGTTCCCAGGTTATTCTAATATATGCCCACATTAGAGAGCAGCTGCCCTAAGTCCAGACCTATTTCTATATTATTTCAGGGTTGGTTTTCCTCTAACATGTTCTGTAAATTTGCTATACTCCCTGCCCCGCAGTGGTGCTAGGCATGTACCACCACTGAGCTGGTTTCGAGTGAAGGAAATGTTACCTTTTATTTCTACCCCCATTGAGGCTGAAATTTGATTTTTGTGGTAAATTAGGCTTGTGTTTACAGGTTCTTTCAATTGCAGGAAGATGTTCATGTTGCTAAGAAAGCAATGACAATTGCCTTATAGTAACTGTTGATAGTTTAAAGTACTCTACTCCTCCAAAGTACTTGGAGGATGAGGTGTTCAAAAAGGAAAATAAATAGCAGTGTTTTATATACAGCATGTTCAAATTTAATAATAATAATAGCTAAGACGTACTATTTGTTCTAAGCATAAGCCAGACAGGGTTCTAAATACTTTACATATATTAACCCATTTTAGTTCAGACTTCATAGGGGGAAGCCCAAGAAAAACGGTCTGAAAACCTTAAAAACTATGAACTGGAGAGATGGCTCAGCAGTTAAGAGTTCTGGCTGCTCTTCCAGAGGACTCTGGTTCAATTCCCAGCAACCACATGGCAGCTCACAACTGTCTATAGCTCCAATTCCATGGTATCTGGCACCTTCACAGGTATACATGTAGGCAGAAACACCAATACACATAAAATAAAAATAAATCTTAAAAAATGTTTTATAAAAAACAAACAAAACTGATGTGGTGATTCACACCTGACACTCAGCTTTTGGGAAACCTAGGGAGATGGCTGAAGTTTGGGAAACACCTGAACTACATAGTGATATCATGTCCAAAATGGAAAAAAAAAAAAAAGCCTTAAGTTCTAAAGAATTGTTCCACCAGGCAATGAGAAACTAAATAGAGGGGTTTTTGTCTTTAAACAGAAGATTCTGTGATGATTGGGTGTTACTCTAGTTGTCGTATATGGTATAGACGGAGCACAGGACAAGGAACTGGGAAATTACATAAAAACTACTTCAAAAGTAAAGTGACTAAAACTGACTAGTATGGACAAAGTGAGGGGAAAGTAACAAAATTCCTCAGGAAAAGCTAACATATTAAAGATGTGTATTTTATGTATATGAGCACTTTGTTTTCATCCATACCAGAAGAGGGCATCAGATCCCCTTACAGATGGTTGTGAGCCACCCCATGGTTGCTGGGAATTTGAACTCACGACCTCTGTAAGAACAGCCAGTGCTCTTAACCTCTGAGCCACTTCTTCAGCCCCCAAGAGCTAACATGACTTAATGACTAGAAGTAGAAAAAAAATGTAGAACGGATAAGGATAGGCTGTCAAAGGATCTTCTTTTAGGTGTGGGTACCAAGAAGACACTGTCTGATTTGGTATGTGCCACACATTATTAATAATCGTGCTGCCTGTGACACAGCGTCTGAATTCTCTGCCTGCCTACTGCCTAGGGATAGCCATTTCAGTTTGATAATCACAAAGGGTGAACCTGCCTCAGGTATATTCTCCCCACACTGAGAATTTTCAGTTTCAGCATGCAAGAAAGTACCTAGGAGGGTTCAAAGGTGAATGATAATCTGCAAGAGCACCTTCATTAGAAATACAAAACGGGCTGGGCGGAGGTGGGCGCACACACTTTTAATCGCAGCACTCGGAAGGCAGAGCCAGGCAGATCTCTGTGAGTTCGAGGCCAGCCTGGTGTACAGAGTGAGTTCCAGGACAGTCAGGGCTACACAGAGAAACCCTGTCTCGGGGAACAAAAAAAAAAAGGAAATACAAAGCTGGGCATGGTGGGCCATATCTGTAATCCTAGCAGGAGGATTCCTGTCATTTTGAGGCCATACATATAACAGAAGACGCTATCTCAAAAAACTAGCGCAAAAAAAATAAAATATAAGCTATTAAATCTAGTAGCCATGTTAAAAAGAAACAGGTGACCTAAAAAAAAAAAAAAATAGACGGGCGGTGGTGGCGCACGCCTTTAATCCCAGCACTTGGGAGGCAGAGGCAGGCAGATCTTTGTGAGTTCGAGGCCAGCCTGGTCTAGAGAGCGAGATCCAGGAAAGGCGCAAAGCTACACAGAGAAACCCTGTCTCGAAAAATCTAAAAAAAAAAAAAAAAAAGAAACAGGTGAAGTTAGTTTCAATGTTTTTACTTACCCTGCTATTTCCAAAATATTAAATTTCAGTAAGTGATATTTAAAGACTACTGAGTACTCTTGCATACATTTTTGAAATCTTGAGTGTATCTAACAACACACACACATAAGTGCCCATTGGTGACCTATGGCTTCTTTAAAGGACAGCACAGATCTAATAGTTACATAGGTGAAAAAAGGAAACATGCTGAGGAAGTAGGCATAAAGGGTTAATTCCTGGCATCAGTGGAGCTTAGGTGTGATAAGGTAGTTTATCACTGAATGTCAAGATGTAAAGAGTAAGATTGGTTTTTAGTCTCTCTCTGTGTGTGTGTGTGTGTGTGTGTGTGTGTGTTGATGCACATGAACTACTAACTTTTAAGAGGGCCAAGAACATCAAAATCGGATCTCAGTAGTCCTTATTAAGAACAGAAGGGAAGGACTCCTATCATTACCAGTGCTCAGTGAGTCCTTGTTGAATTTGAGACCAATGGAACAGCTATGGGAGTGAGCAGCTCCACAAACTGCAAAGATCCTTACATCCCCTGAGCTCAGTCGGAGGTCTGATGTTCAGCTGTGCTGTTCCTTGATAGAATTAGTTCCAAAATTCCTTCTAGCCACATCTCTTTAGAGAGATCTCTAACTCAGCCGTCATCACAGTACACAATTATTGTAAAGGCAAAAGATTTCTTCTCCATTTCATCGAAAACACTCCATTCCCCCTAACTTGGAAGAAAAAGAATGCTAATCTAACTGGACTTCAAATAAACATCTGTCCAGTGCTTTACAGTTAGGAAATGGTTTCACCTGTATTTCTTTTCTTTTTTTCTTTTTTTCTTTTCTTTTTTTTTTTTTTTTTTTTGGTTTTTTGAGACAGGGTTTCTCTGTGTAGCTCTGTGCCTTTCCTGGAACTCGCTTTGGAGACCAGGCTGGCCCTGAACTCAGAGATTCGCCTCTCTCTGCCTCCTGAGTGCTGGGATTAAAGGTGTGCACCACCACCGCCTGGCTCACCTGTATTTCACTTATGATGGAAGTAATGGCTGCTTTTCTGGTATTGCAGGGAAAAGAAAATAATATAAAATTTAGACCTAAAACCTTTAATAGTAACAAACATCAGATTAATCTGGACTAATAAAACAAAGCAGTTGGCAACAGAAAGCCCAGTTCAAGCTCCTGCTCCACTTTATGTATTTCTTTTGCAGTACTGGGGATTTAAACCCAGGGCCTTACGCATGCTAGGCCAGGGTTCCACCACTGAGCTGTATCCCCAGTCTGCTCCACCTTTAAGTGGCTAATGATCTTAACCAAGTCACCTCTAAACTTCAGTTTGCTCAAGTATCAAATGAAAACACATAGTCCTCATGGGTATGCAGTGAGAGTCTATGGGCTCATTCTAAATATAGAATAGAAAATTTTAATGAAAAATACATTTTCTTATCAGAATATACAGGAAAACCCTGTCTCAAAAAACAAAGGAACAAACAAACAAAAAAACACACAAAAAAACCCATTTTCTGTCAGAGAAGCACCAGTTGGCTAGCAACTTGGCAGATAATGCAGAAAATCGAGCTTATCAGTGGGCATTATGGTTGGATAGACATTAGTCTTTTTTTTTTTTTTTTTTTTTAATTTCAGGGCTGAGGACCGAACCCAGGGCCTTGCACTTGCTAGGCAAGCGCTCTACCACTGAGCTAAATCCCCAACTCCGGACATTAGTCTTTTTAAGACTAAATGTCTGTGTGATGCCAAGAATAGGTTTAGGTTTCAATGGGAACAAAAGCCACCCAATTCACTAAATTTCTTTTCATGTAGATTTTACTGCATCTGCCTTGTGTTTTCTTATATTTCCACCATCAGCCCATCTCATCCATTCATGTGGGTTTGAATATCTATCACCTTTGTACTGAAGGGTCCAAATTTATATCAACTTTGACTTTTTTTTTTAAGCTAGGACTTCAACCTACAGCCAGAGCAGAGCTAAGAGCATTACAGAGATGTAGAGCCAAAGCCCTGATCACACCTTGCCACACTACCAGTAAATGCCACTGTTGTTTAAGTCCTTGAGAATTCGGTTTCTCTATATAGGTATATTCCTAACTAATGAAATGGTGGTTTTCTGCCTCTTCTGGTTTACCACCCTGCCTAACACTGTATTCATATGTTTAATAAGTGTTCTAAATTTAGCTAATCTCAAATAGCTTTCATTCTTTCTAAAATTTCTCCTTTATCTCTGGGAAGTGGAGCTACTAACCTATCCAGGAGCTTAAGGCAGCCCCTGGGAGTGATCCAGACCCTTTCCTCACCTTTCAAGTCTAGGGTATTAGTTAGATCTTGTTCTACTCTAAAGAATGCCCAGAATCTCTGCTGCTATCTGCCTTGGTTCTAGCCATCCATGTCTCTTAGTCCCTGTTGCCTTGCCCTGCTGCCCAGCCACTTTAACAAAGTATAGTAATCCTTTTAAAATGTTCAATTGTCACTCAAAGCCCTTTATTATGTTTCCATGACACTGAGAAATAAAAAGGCCAATCCCTTATTAAGCCTACATGACTTTAAGGGGTAGCTAAATGTTCCTTACGAACTGACTCAATGAGCCCCACTGAGGACAGAAGGGGACAGGAAAACATAATTGTCCTACATTGGAAGCAGTAATATAATAAAGTGTCAGTTCAGCATATTGAATGTGTGTGTTAGAGGGTGTGAGTGACTGGGACAAGGGGTGAGAAAAGAGATTTAAAATGTGAGCTAGCTTTGAGGAAGGAGAAAAAAGTGGATCAAGACAGAGACAGGCAAAGTGTACAGACTTCTCAGCAAATAGTAGCTTCAGGTACACAGAAGTGTGAGGTAGGACAGATGTCTGTAGGGGTTAGATTATAGGTAACCTTATATGCTTCGTCTAAATTTAGTGTTTAGACTCCTATTCAAAATCAGAATTTCAATGTGGTAAAGAAAAAGGCAGAAACACAATTCTTATCCTCAATCAGAAGACAGTGATACTAAGAATATGGAATGCTCTCTTTATCTCGACTTCTTGCAGTTAAGGATTGCCTCTCTGGCCACAGCTTCTAAAGCCATCCAGAGGAGATAGTGGGGGGAAGAGAGAAGCCTTCCTTTTTAAAGACCCTAATACTTAATTAGGGGAAGACCTTGGAATTTCACTTCTAGTTCTAGAAGCTATTTAGGAAGTTTTCATTATGGGGCAGTGGTGGCACACACCTTTAATCCCAGCAACTCGGGAGACAGAGGCAGGTGGATCTCTCTGAGTTCAAGGCCAGTCTGGTCTACAGAATGAGTTCCAGGACAGCCAAGGTTACACAGAGAAACCCTGTCTTGGGTGGGGGTGGGGGCATAGGCATAGTGCTGCATGCCTATAATCCCAGAATTTGGGAGGTCCAGATATGAGGAGGATTAGGTGTTCATAGCCAACCTTGGCTATAGAATGAGTTCTAGGCAAAGCCTGGGCTACAGGAAATCCTGTCTCAAAAAAACAAAACAAAACAAAAGTTTGAAACACAAAGTATTTTACAATGGGTTTACAACACAAGCCCAACACTCAAGAGGCAGAGGCAGGCAGATCTCTGAATTTGAGACTGCCCTGGTCTACATAATGAGTCTCCGGCCAGGAAGGGCTATATAGTGAAAGCCTGTATTAAAAAAAAAAAAAAAAAGCTTCCTAAAAAAGGATGCAATCTTATTGTAAATAATGTAAGAGATTTGGTAGGACCCAGTTATTTATTAATCTACCAGTATAGGCAGTAGAAAGAGGGGTAACTATATCATGCTGGCAGGACATGGTGTGCTGCAGGGCTAGAATCTCAACACTCAGAAGGCTAAGTAAGGTAAGAAGACCGTATATTTGACATTAACCTGGGCTACATATTAAGACCCTGGTTTTAAATTTTAAAAAAATTAACCTAGGGTCACAGTCTCACTTCTACCCCTCCCTCACTTGGCTATGTGATAGCTACATATCCT